ATTTAAAAACTGGACTTTTGAGGTTAAACAAATGTTCATAATTAATTCAAATAAATTACAAGTTAAAAGGGGCATGGACACTTCTCTTTTTTGAATCAAAAAATATCAAAGTGTGAGACTAAAGTATCGAATCGAACCGTGAATTTTCTGTATCGTTGCACCCCAAGGGTTTGCTTGTGTTTTTTCTTTATTTTAATAAAGAGCATCCTTTTTAAACTCCTGCACTTAGAGTTTGCAGATGATTTCATGAACTGGAGAACACTTTAGAAAATATCAGCATTATCATAAGAATAATGTGATTGTGAGTTTTTCTTTCTCTTTAACCTGAAACCCTGAGGATGATGCACCCCAGGCTGCAGGCCAAACGGGGGTTTCTTGTGTCAGCTTCCAGCCAGCAGAGCGGTGTTTGCATGAATAAAACAGGAAGCACAAAGGTACGGCACAAAGGAAGGATGTTTTAGCGATGCATTCATGTCCACTAATGTCAAGCAAGGAGGGAAGTGTACTTTTCTTCAGGCCTTTCCTCTGCACGTGACGCAACCGTCTAATGTTTCCTACTGAAAACCTGCCTGGCCGGCTTCCAGACGCTGCTTTTATTTACAGAACTCTATAAAACAGCTTGTCTCACTCTCAGAAGGCYGGTCGGTGTTGGTTTTACAGCTGGCCCAGGTGAAACTTGTGATTTTAGCTGCAGAAAGTTAGCACTGTTTGATGTAAAATCTCCAGAGAGCAGTTTGTCCTGACCTAAAAGAGGTTCTAACAAGCCAGACTCCAAGGATTTTGCAATTGTCTGCAGAGGTGACACATGAAACCAGATGTGGTTGGCCTCTCATTGTGCTCCGAGCTCTTTCTGCTAAATGTTTTCACCTCAAATGTGCAGACCATGTGTGCTTGTGCCGAAGAACTAAACCTCTGAGGTTGTGGTCCTGATTTCATTTGGAGCCACGTCCCAGGTGGGCTGCAGTATTTGTTATGGTTACATGGTGGTAATCGTTAAAGATGATGGGGAAATGGAGCCGTGTAAATATTAGTACCTGCAGGATTTGCTGTGTAATCCTTCAAACATAAACAGAAACGTTTCAGCCTCTCTGCTTCCTACTAGTGATAATTACAGACMCTTTTAATAAAAGGTTATAATGTAATTAATGTACATTATTTAGATTTAATCTTTTAATAACCATCTCCTTCTGCCATTTACTTAGGTTGCAGAAGAATAATAAGACTTTTAATAAACCTAAAATAATAAATAAATAAAGATCCGCCTTCTGCAAACCTGGGTTTAGCATGTTAGCATGCTAGCAGTAGCTAATGTTTGTTTGCTATTTGGGGCTTAAAGCAAATATTTCTGCAAACTGCAAACCAAAATGGAAGAAAATATTTTGCAGATCAGACTGAATATTAACAGATTTATTTACATCCCTCGATTTTTAGTTTAGAGTTTAGTTTAGAGTGAATTTAACTGTGGTTGAATGAGAAGTATAAATATATAAAACTCTGATAGTGTATTAGTT